TAATAGAAAATTTTATAGATACACTAAGCTGGTACACTGAGACAAGCTAAATCAAGCTAGTTAGATATAATGTACAATTTAGCTAAAAGTTAAAATGTTACTGAGCTATAAACTAGTTAACTTAGTTATAAGCTAAAATGATTAACGAGGTGCACAAAACCTAAGAGGAAGATGAAAATATGTTAATTGGTTTTACCTCTCAACTTGGTAGTAAAAAACACGAGGGTGATGAGCAGCCATTTTAGCCATAAGCTATTTGAGTTATACGTCATATCTGCTTATGTATAAGGGAATAATATTACTTGTAAAATAGTAATTTTTGAAGAATATTCTTTAAATCAAATTACTCTACTACCGAGATAGACTATTTAGATAAGTGTGTACAAAAGTTAAGAGCTACTAGAATTGATAACTGAGCAAACTTAACTTCAAGCTAGTGGTAATAGCAGAGAAGTGGGTGTTCATCGTAACCTAGTAGTGAGATATGAGAAGAGTGTGCTTAATCTAAACTAGTAATGATAGTTAAGAACTCACTTTTAAATAGTAATGATAGCTGAGAGTGTTCATTATGTTGTGATGTATCCAAAGCTAAAATAATAAGTGAGTTATTTGCTTAAATGATTGAGTTATGTAATGTGTGACACATGAAAGGTTATGACATATTAATATGACTAACTTGACATGAATCTAAGCATAAATAAATCAAGTCATAAATATGATAAATGTAGAAGAAAAGATTAATTAAAGCTCAATCTAACTAATATTTCTAGTATTAATTCACAATAATGTCTGTGAATTATTATAAGAATAAGTTAGAGATAAAGTGATAAAGTGAGTACATATGCACTAGAGACTATTATACGTGCTTATTGAGAAGCGAATATAGAACCTTGAAAAGGTAAATGAGGTGAAATATTTAATATATGGTATTTCAAGTGTTGGAAAATCATAATAAATGTATTAGAGATAAAATTTCAGGATTATCCCAAAGTTGTGGGGAAGATATTATCCAAAAATGAAATTTGCTACGAGTCACCTCATCTTAAGAAGAATACTTATAAATGTGGGAGGTTTCGAATCCTAAGAGTTTTAGGATAAAACTAAAAATCATTTATAGTATTATAATAGTAGTGCATGTTGCTTCCTATGAGGAAAATTATTTAATAAGACAATTAGAGGAGTTCATTGTTCCAGCTAAAGAGGTAAATGTGCAAGCTTATAAGACCTTAAGTGGATTAAAGTATGTACCGAGAAAATGACATAATGTGATACATAAGTCATTGTATGCCTTAAAATATTGGTGATATATTAACTAGTGTATTTGATAAGAAAGATTTAACATCAGATAACATAGTATATTCTCAATAGAGTGGGATTGAGATAATACTAGTTATGATAACAAAAGTCTAGTTAACTTTTGTAGATGAAAATCTCAAATATAAATACTAGTCAAAGTACAACATTGGTTGAGATTGCAAGTCATCTTAATAATTGTTTTAATTGCACACTTTCAATCAAGGATAAGATCATTGAAAAATAATAAATAGGGCAGCTGAGATACACCTTAAGTCAAATATTGCATACATCGAGGTATCAAATTAAATTGGAGGTGTAACAGTGATGCAATTTGGATGAGGGATATTAAAGACTTCAAATTCAAGAGTAGATATGTCTTTAATATTAAAAGTGTAGTTGTATATTCTAAATATAACTCAAAGTTAGAAAATTTGAATAAATCAAATAGGAAAATCAACAGACTTCACCTAGAGGACATTTCAAAGTAAGTTTACACTTGTGCCACTAAAGAAAAGGATATTTTAGGGCACAAATTATACAGTTGCTTTCAACTGGGGAAATCTTTATATAGTATAATATTTTTATATACAACCGTGTCGCCACATATAAAATTGAGGGTTGAGATCATCAAGGGGAATGGAGTTAAAGCCGAAAGCTAACAAGTCACCTTAATGAAAACTCAACCTAACTGACTGGAGATCCCAAGATCTAGATTCAAACTAACAACAGAAATTCTGAGTAACTCGCCAGAAGCAGCACTGGGAAGATATAAATCTTATGCCTATTTCTATGATGAGACAGTGTTACCTACAATGAGGATTAGGATAAGTTACGCTTTTAATGACTCTTATACCTTGAAATATTCAAGTAGGGTATGGTAGTATACTCTTAATAAGAAGTCACCTATATAAGTGTCAAGTGGGACCGCTTTATGAGAACTATAAAGGCTAAGTTTTCTAGAGCACTCATGAATACCAAGAGTTGTTCAGAGCCAAAATGAACATAACAATGAGTAATAACTTTATGAGGAAGGGTATTGTGTGTTTGCTATTGTCTTGGTTTACATAAACGACTGAACAGTTCAAGACATCGCGTTCACTGGTTGGCTAGTAAATCCGATAGCAATACACTAGGAAAGGTTCAAAGCCAAAAGCTACCTATCTTGATGCAGTAACTTTCCGACTGTACTATTTCTAGTGTTTGCATTATCATTTGCGTTTTAGCAGCAAATTTTCATTCATGTGGGGGATTGTTAGAAATTTGGTGTGAATGGAAGTTGTTAATCAACGAGTTTGTAACTGGAGTGGTGCCACCATAGCTTTTGCGACATTAATAACCCATGAATCTGGTTATTCATGTAGAGTGTTTCTGTAATACAGAGTTTCCAAATTACAATGAATTTTTGACACGTGATTCAACGTGGTTAAGGATGGGTTGGAAAGTAAGGATAACATAATGACCATATTTGTGAGTTTGGGTTATAAACGTTAACAAAACATAACATTGTGTGTATGTTGTAGCAACGTGAATATATGGTGTGAATGGTTGTCGATACAATTTGTGAAGAGGTGTGACAGTCGTACGTTAAACCAACATAACCATTTGAACCATTAATGCATCTGGTGGTCGTGTCTTGTGATGAACAGACACCATGTTTAAGATATTTCCAAAATAATGATGAATTGTATTTAATCTAAAACATTGCAATGGATGGTGAAGGGATGCAACCAGTCCCAATACACACCATTTTGTCTATAAATACCCCTATAGGCAGCATTAATCATTTGTTCAATTCTCTGATCTTTTCTCCCCTAATCTAGATTTGAACCAAACACAAGTGGGTTTAAGCCATGGTCAAGTGGTTTGAGCCACTTAGGCCTGAAACCGATTTCATTGAATCATATTAAATTTGGTCCGAGCCATTTGGTTCGGATTGCACCCAATTCATTATTTATATAGTATAGATGCATTTTTGAGTCAGAGAGAGTATTACACGGACGAGGTTCGCCTTGTCCACGAGTTTGAAGTACTGCTACTGGTGCATGTAGACTGTTGTATCCTGAGAGACAAACGTATAGAGTCCGTTAGCACCATGCGGGGCGTAAATTGTCTTAAGGACATTGTATTCAATACTAGCATCGGTTCAGGTTCTTTATTTATTATTTATTAATTTATTGCTCTATTTTACATATTTAATTAAATATATAATTACATATTTAATTAATCATTTCTAAGCATATTGTTAATTATCTCATAGTATATTAATATAAGAGTTGTTATATCTTAAATGTCACATGAAACATATATTTTTCCAACAATATATATATACACTTAGGAATATAACACTTAGTTTTTTTTAGAAGCAAAACTTTGCCAAATATATATATATATATAGGAAGGTGATAAATGCCTCCTTTTTTAACATGGATTGATATTATTTTCCTTAATTCAATTTATAAAAAGAAAATATAAGAGGCATTTGTGGCATTAAATTTTAAAAAAAAAATAAAAAAGTGCATTTATCATTTTCCTAACAATTATAACATCATCCAAAACTATTACTCAATAAAAATAATAAAATGTGTTAATTTATGTAAAATAACAAGTGGGAATTGTTCCCGTTAATAGAAAATGATATTTACATTTTTGTCCTTACTTAAATAACATCGATTCATTATGTTTTAATTTCAAATGATGACGTGATCCCTGTAATCCCCGGCGCCAATAGAAATTGGACAATTGCTGGAACAATATTTACCTAGATGAGTAGGTCATTCAAAGTGACCACTAAAATAATTCAGTAACATAATTTGTGAATGCAAAATAAGGAAAGTCACAAATAAGAAAATAGATGGGATGATTGAATTTATTTTTAAAAAATTTATTATCCTTATTGATTGTTTTTCTGATGTAATTGGATGGGCAAATTTGCCAAATCAACAAACAACTCCCCGCGCCAAACCATTCTTCTCTCTCAGATTCTTCTTCCCCAGCCACATGCTAATTTTGTTTGTGGACATGTGTTTTAAATTTTATTTTTGTTTTTAGACATTTGTTTTAGATCTATTGGGCCACATCAGTAAGTTGAATGAAATGGATTGGACACAAGCATTGTTAAAAAAAAAATTAAAAATAGTTTAAGAACCCTTCACATCTAACCGGCCACCGCCACTGCCACCACCTCCAGTGTAAAATAATAATTATTTTATAATTAATATCTAATCTAATTAGAAAAATGGTAATTTTTTAAAATAATTATTCTTTTAATTAATTGTAATATTAGATCATAAGGTTATAATTTAAAGTGAGTATATTATTTCTTGTTTACTGGAATCAGTTGAACATCACAATATATATGTTAAGAACTTGAGACTTAGGTAACTTCCGAAAAAAAAAAAAAACTTGAGACTTACGTCCAGCCCACCTAATTCTTGGCCTAGGATTCGCTCAATCTAACATTTTCATACCACTGTCCATTTGGGTTCAACAAGGCCTCAAACCTCTCAGAGCTGAAACCAGGTTTAGGGCACACTCCATCATTCAAACACTTTCAGGGAACCAAAGAGAGAGTGATAGCGAGAGAAAGTCGAATCACTTCAAATCTATGAAGTTCCCCGCTTTACAGGCAAGTACTCATCCCTACACTCTTTGCTGTGATTGAAAGCATATTTTATATATAATACATCACTGTGTTTCTTCAAGAAATGAGGACTATATATATCTGCAAAAGTCTCATCTCACTATCTCTTAAGAACTCTTCACATCTCACCAAAACCCCAATCTCTCTTTTCTCTCTCCTCTTCTTCTCTTCCTCTCCAGAAACCCCCATTGCGGTGGCCGATTACTTGATTGATAGACACAAATTTTCGCTTGAAACTGCTTCGAAAGTCTCTTCCGTGGTAAAGTGTCTGAAAAGGCCTGAAGAGACCGATTCGATTCTTTCATTTCTCCAGGAAAGTGGTTTTTCGGATTCCCATCTAGAGCGTTTCATCAAACACGCGCCTCAACTTCTCTCTGCAAATCTTGAGCGCTCCATCAAACCCAAAATAAAGATGTTTCAAGACTTGGGTTTTTCTTCTAGCGATATTGTGAAAATTGTTTCCATTCACCCAAAGATTCTAACTAGTAGCGTTGATAAACGGCTTGGCCCGTCGATTTTAGCATTGAAGAGTGTTTTGGGTTCGAATATGGATGATGTGTCTAGGGTTTTAAAGAAATCTGGTTGGTTTTTGGGGTGTGATTTGGCGAAAACTATGATACCCAATATTGAATATTTGAATAGCTGCGGTATTAGTTCGACACAAACAACCCGGTATGTGTACAAATACCCAAATTTATTCAAGTATAAACCGATGCAGATGAGAGAATATGTGAAGAGGGTTGATGAGATGGGCATTGACAGGAAGTCTAAGATGTTTCTTCCTGCGATTCAGGCTATTTGTTCGATGTCTATAGAGAATTGGGAATTGAAATTGGAGGCGTTTAAGAGTTTGGGATTTTCCGAAGACGACATTCTATCCGCTTTTAGGAGGGCGCCCATGGTGTTTGCTCTGTCAGAGAGGAAAATTAAGGAGATAACACAGCTTTTGCTTAGCACGGGCAAATGTGATATGTCATATGTTGCTAATAACCCAAACATACTTTCTTACAGTGTTGAGAATAGGCTTAAGCCACGGCTAAGAGTTCTGGAGGTTTTGGAAAGCAGGAATTTGCTTCTTAAAAAGCTGAGTTTGGTGACTGTACTCGGGTTCACTGATAAGAAGTTCTTTGAGAAATATGTACTTCCTTATTCAGATGAAGTTGGTGAATTATTCGTGTTTAACAAGGCCTCTTTGACAGCAGAAATATGTGCGTAAGATCATGAGTCCACATCCTTTGTGACTTAATGATTTAATACCTAGAGGCAGGATGAGATTGAATTTTTTTTCCAAAAAGAAAACGACTTGGCGGCATGGCATGGCAGGTAAGTAGGTACTCTAAAGCACTAGATATTCACATGTTTTTTTCTTGTATCCATATGGTGTACTACTCTGAAAAACATGGATTAATTTTCCAATTAACTGTCTCTGACATTTTTCTTCTTCTATCCATATGGTGTACTACTCTGACAAACATGGATTAATTTTCCAGTTAACTGTCTCAGCAGAAATATGTGCCTAAGTTAGTACAGTTATGGGAAAGGAACTGTGTGTGTGTGTGTATTATGAATTAAGCAGCTTGCTCTTTCAAGCTTGGTCCTTCTAATTTTACATTATTCCCCATCACAATTGAACAAGCTTCTGATGTCTTTTGGGTGCTTCTGTTCTTCATCCGCAACCTTACATTAGAGACACTTACTCAATCCCCTGCTGCAGCATACATATTTGACAACATAGATAAATTTCCTGCATTTGTTGGTTCCAATTTAACTAGGTGATCTAACACCTTCACTGCAAGTTCAACATCATTCATTATGCATTCGGCACGCCACTAAAAGAGTACCCCAAATAATGACATTTGGTTCCATTGGCATGTTATGGACAAGCCTAAAATCTTCCTCAAGACGTCCCCTAAGTCCTGATCGATCGTGAAACCATAATGATCAATTTGTGGAACAACCCCATAATTTCTCTCCGGCATTTCATCGAACAGCCGAAGAGCTCCTGTCAACTCACCCACTTCCATCAACCCGCTAATGACTGAATTCCAAGAAACAACGTTTTGTATCAAATGCAGGTAAATCATATTTGCATGCTTTAAGATCAAGAAACACTTGCGCAGACACAGTCACTTAGGCTCTGACGCAAGAAGAAAACTGTAGTCAAGCAATGTTGATTCAAGCAGTTCACGGTGGCAACTAAAATCATGATTGCTTAAACTAATTCTGCATTATGTTTTCTGAAAATAAGATACCATTTTTAAATCGCGTCACATTTCTTTCTAGCTATAAATATGCTAATCATTTTTAGTGAAGGGGGCAATGTAAACTGCAAATGAGCACATTTCTCCTTGTCATCACATTGAGAAAATCATTCAAAACCATAATGACTGACAATCCTAGGAAGAGCAAAAATAAAAAATGCAAATACTACATGCGGGAAGTAAGTTATGATCCTAAAACCGTCCAACGCAATCAATTCAAGATGATGATCTTCAATGGTATATTAGAATTATCTAACAAACAAAAATTGAAAAGAATTGTCATCATTAAGTCCCAGTAGAATATATAATATATTCAATTCTTGTCAAGTTCTATATGGAAAATTCGGTGTTTATTTTATTAATTATTATATATTCTTCAAGTTTTTAACTTTAGACTGCTTCAAAATTGTTTAAGGTAAAACGTTTGAATCGGATTAAGTGGGTTCAGAAGTAGGCTGAATCCAACAAAAGGGACTCTAGAGAATCCCTTCACGCAGTAAATGTGTCAAAGTTTGGATAAATTTTTCCGTAGTAGAAACAGCTACAAAACCCTTTTCTTAGTGGAATATTAGATGTGAGAAATATGTTGAAATTGAATTTCAAGTTGAACAGACCTAATTTCAGAAACAAAACGTGTGCGAAGTTTTAGCTTTTCTATTCATTCAGTCCAATATTATTAAAAAATAGCAAATTTACTTTTAAGAAATGAAGCATATGTAATAATACAAGTAAGTACTAACTGGCAGTGACTTAACGGCATTAGTTTCTTACTTCAAAGAGGGGCCGAGGTAAAAATGATACAACCAAGTATTTAGTTGCCAATATGAACAGTGTGGTGGCTCAAGACCACAAGGGCTTAGTTACTTGGTCCGTTTAGTAGATTCATTTTTTAAATTTGTCTAATCATGCCTCACATTTTAGAGAATTTAATCATGGCTCACATTTTAAGTATTCCCAATATATCTTTCTTTTCTTAGTTAAAAGAATTTCTTAGATTTATTTGAGTTATTTATATTTTATGTTTACAATGTTTGTCTTAGATAGGCCTCATAAGAAGGAATGAGGTGGCCCAATAAAACATCAACATGTGTTTAAGTTTTAAAAGGAAAAAAATAAAAATAAAAAAAATAATGACTACAGGCAATAGAAGCTAATCCTTCCCTCTTTCTCTCTCAAGGAGCTATATATATTATTTATGTGTTTTGAATCTAAAATCAAACCTTGTTTTGAAGAATACATATAATATATATACATATCACATATTATAAAGAGTGGGGCCAGGTGGGGAAATGACCCTAGGCCTACATTGACTCTATCAAGAATGATGATGTTCTCTCTCTCAAATATAAAATTACATATTATATATAATGTATGAACGAGAATTACACATTATATATAATGTATGAACGGCACATTATACCAAATTAAATAACTTTTTCGATAGAAAAATCTAATAGATCTATTTTTTTTGTTTTTATTTGGTAATAATCATCTTTGTAACAATTAAATTTTGATGAGAAGTTTGTAATTAGATACAAAAGAAAAGAAGATGAATATGAAATGTTTTGAAATTTAGGAGAGATTGGGATGAGAAAAGAAAAGGAAAGAAAAAGAAAGGATAATGAAAAGTCCTCATAAAAGAAGATGAATATGAAAAGTTTTAAAATTTATATATAAGCGAAAGAGAAAAAAAAAATAAAAAATAAAGGAAATTTCTATATCAATGAAAAAAACCTAGAAAAAAAAAAAAATACATGGCTATTAAATAGAGTGCCGGTCTTTCAAGATTCGTATCATGAAAATGAATTCATGATATATATCATTTCTATATCAAAGAAAAAAACCTAGAAAAAAAAAAAAAAATACGTAGCTAATAAATAGAGTGCCGGTCTTTTACGATTCGTATCATGAAAATGAATTTATGATATATATCATTTTCCATGAATTTATATTGATTATTTGTCTTTGAAAGATGCCGATCTAATATATATATTCTCCATACCAATATTTGTTTTATATTCAAAACATATAAATAATATATATATTCTCCATACCAATGTTTGTTTTATATTCAAAACATATAAATAATATATATTGCTGCTGTTTGAGAGAGAAAGAGGAAATGGTCGCTTTCTATGGCATGTAGTCATTATTATTATTATTTTTTTCCCTTTTAAAACTTAAACATCTATTGATGTTTTATTGGGTCACCTCATCATAAGAAGAAAGTTCTTTCTTATATGGCCTAAGGCAAGTATTGTTCTTACCAATATATCTTTCTTTTCTTAGTTAAAAGAATTTATTAGATTTATTTGAGTTATTTATATTTTATGTTTGTAAATTTCTTCTGTGTGACCATTCAGATTAATGTGAGTAAATTATTTATTTATTTAATCTCAGTAATTGACCCAGTAAACAATATATTAATAGCCTCTTATTTAGAAGATCCCTCTTCAAACTGCCTCTCTCTTTTCTGAACCTCCCATTGATTGTCTGTCCATCATGTCACCACCTCCTCCTCCCCGTGCATCCCACCACCTTCACCCGCCATTGCCATTGCCCTTACCACCCTCTCCCTCCTGAGCACCGCTCCCCATCTTTCCATGGACGAGCGGCTCCCCCCACCTAACGGCAATGGAAACCACCCCATCCCTCAACCCCAACCCGAAACCCAATCCATTTCACATGCTGATCAGAATGAAAACCACAATGACCAGAATTTACCTGATCAACCTACCTTCCCCTCCGGCACCTACATAGTCCAGGTACCCAAAGAACAAATTTACCGCGTTCCACCACCCGAGAATGCGATGCTGGCGGACCGCCGTCGTAACCACCCTCACCAAAAGGGGCGCTGTTGCTCTTCCCACTCTTGCATGTGTAAATTCATCTCCGTTGTTGCTGTTGTCATCGTTCTTGGCCTATTAGTAGTAGCCGCTGTCTCTATTCTTCACAAATGATAGCAATCCTAATACATTTTCTTCGTTGAGCAAGAGCCCTGACTATGAGATTTGCAATGAAACGAGAAAATTCAAGCTCGCATTTGGTAATGACCAGGGTGGTGATTCTTCCCTCTCTTTTAGGCAACAATGGATCGCTGTTGGAACATTTCAACTTTTAATCAACAACCAAAGATGAACTTCCATTGCAGAAACATTGTGTTACCTCGAGAGATTGAGAGGAGCGTGGCAAGCTCAAACTCGAAGGTACGTTAATTTCTGTTTGTGAATTAGGATCCCATTCTGGTTCCCCTCTTTGTACCCATCGATGAATGTCCCGGTTAGATTGAAGGTTGGGACATTGAAAACTTGGGAGTACAATGATACATTGGCGAAATTTACTCTGATTATGTTTCTTGAATGTTGTACAAAATACTCGTTCGAAAATTAGATATTGGCAGAGGCAGCAAGATGGGGACGGTGGTGGTGGTAGTGATGCTGCCATCGTCCCAATTCGAATATCATTTTTGTAATTTATTTTTTATTTATTTTTGGATAGCCTAGTGAACTGAGGAAACAATTGAAGACATTGATCATCGGAGTGGATCAACTGGCATGGAGACATTTCTCTGTTATGATCCCTCTTATCTTAAATTCAGACCAAGTGTTGTAGATTCTGTACGATTTTTTATTTTTTACTTTTTATTTTGTGTTAACACCTTTATAAAAAAAATACTGTACATCTATGTAAAAAATTATTAAAACTCTCTCCCTCATGTTGAATTTGATTGTTCAACTTACAACATTTTTCTGATTAAATTCAAGTGATACAGGAGCATATATTCTTCTTAATTCGTGTGATATTATTTTGATAATACTGATGACCTGAAAACCTTATCCACTATTTAACAATAGGAAGAAGAACAAAATATATCTAATAAATGTATAATTATTCTGTATGTTAATTGTAAGTATCGAGCCCCATTTGGATTTGTTTATGTATAAATACATTTTAT